ATAAATGACTTGAAATACATGAAAAGATGGTAGGGTATTCACTGGTGGATTTTACAGATTTATTGATAGTTAAGAAAATCAAGCAGGTAAGAGATTCAAATTTTCTATTCTTCCTTATAAGTATGTGTAGTTTATATTTTAATTGGTTAGGTACTATAGACACTGTATTTATGGGAGAGACTGAAGGTCAGACATGTCACAAAAAGTCTTTCAAATATTTCCTTTTGAAAGTAAGAAATTAAAACTTATATAATATGAAAATTATATTTATATACTATGCTATGATGCCACGTTTGTTTACATATATTCATTGTAAAGTTGTTAAATCATGTTTTGAGTGCAACTATGTAAAACAATTATGAATGAGCCATACAAGGTCAGTCAAATTGACAGAGCCTGTATGCCAGGATTAATGTAATGGTAATGCTTCAAGAAGTCACATTAAACAATTGCTGTCATAATTTATACCTGACCAACCAATTTTAATACTTCTAAGGGAAAGAAAAAGATAGAAAATAATTAAACCAAAATGTACTGATAAAACAAACAATTCAAATTTTACATTAAATTGGTATTTCATAATCACATTGTAAACTCGCAGTAACCCATCCTTTGCCAGAGCTTATAAATATTTTACAAAATACTCATTGCAACAACCTTTTCAAGACTTAAAATGCAGAAATATCATATGCACTTCTGTTTTGAAAATTTCTTAAAGCAACTTTGATTACCCACTTTTAAATATATTTGTACAAATAACTACAAATCTAATCTTGGTACCATTATTTCATGGTTTACAGTTATCAGCTGCATAATTTGGTTTGTTTGATTTACTGCACAGTTACACAATGGGCTACCTGCATTAACTCTGTCCACTGTGGAGAATCAAGCCACTGATTTTACCATTTTAAGTACATAAACTTATCACTGACCTATCTGGGGATGAACTGTATAAGAAAATATACTAAAGTGTAAATACAATCTATCTTTTGAGACAATCATTATTGGCTGTTTGAACAAATTCTGTACAAATACAGGCAATATTTCAAATTACAATTAAATTTAATAATTATACGTGATTAAAGAAGGAGAACATTCCAATTTACTCGTAGATTAACACAAAAAAGTTGAAAGCTTTGAATAAAGAAAAAAGGAATCAGCTTTTCATAGAGATCTTCTTTATCTCCATAATGGCAAACACTCATCTATCTACAATTTAAACAAAAAATAATAATAGTCCAAGTAATCTGCAAGACACTTTTTATAGTTAGGTGATATGAAAGAAATAAAATAGCAAAAATACAGGTTTTCAAAGCTAGTACTTTACATCTAATATCAAAGTCATAATTACTATCTTCATTAGTTAACAAACAAACAAACAAAAAAGCTAACATTTTATGGATAAAATATCTAAGAGCTTAATTTTTAAAATATGAATGAAATCACTTTAGTTTTTGTAATTGTAGGGTTCTTCAACTGCTGGTTTTAGTTTCCATTTCTTAATTTCAAAAGGAAATATTTGAATAAATTCTCAGTCTTCACCTTTATATATCACATGAGTCTGCTTATAATTAACTAGTTTAGAATTTCTTTCTA